ACTTGATGCTGGTTCCTAATTCTGGGCTCATTGCTCTACCTAATGATTTTAGGTGTTGGAAGCCTGAACAGAGCTTGTCTGTACAGAAAAGAAGTGAGAAAAATGGGTCATAATTTGGAGTTTGCCTTCAAAGTATCTCTTTCCTTATTTATTAAGATTCACAATGTCACTTACATTAGAAAATTCAGATAAATTGTAATCTTTCCAATATCTCCAATTCTGATTCAGAATGGTATAAATGGAGAGGTGAATACAACTACAATTAACCTTTCAGGTTTTGTTGAAAATGGATGGACAGTACTGATAACAATAAACAGTAAGAGCTAACATCATATTTGTTAGTGCTTCTGACAATGCAGCATACATTTCACACATTAGCTCATTTACTCCCAGAAAATCCCATTAAGTCAGGTACTATAATTATCTACATTTAAGGAAAGTTTAACTGTAAAAGCTACCTCACTTTACTATAAAAATTTCTAATCTATGATAATAATTTGAACTATGATTATATTTAAATAAATATTTCAAGTACAAATAAATATACTGAGTAAATAACATTAGGTTATCCATGAAACAAATAGAATGCTGATGTCTTTTATTTTAGAAAAGAAATTTTTCCTCATTCTCAGACAAACGGTGTTGAACAAAGTAGGCATAAGTCATAAAAGGCTTAGGGAATGTGAATAAATTAATGTATGTCTTTTATTTCAAGTTCTCATACTTCCTGTGTCTCTGGTCTGCGCATGTGTGTGTGTTTATGTACACGTAGGAGACACACTGGAATTAAATCAATAGATTAAATCAATAGATTGATACTCTCTTGGAATATGTTTCTTCCCACATCCATAAAAGAAAGTATGAGAATTTACCTCATAATGCATCTTAGGAATTAATTTTGATAAGTAAAATATTACTCAGGGTGCTTCTTGTATAATATATTATTTTCCATTGTCTCATTACATCTCCTAATGCTAAAACCTTAAGAAATTCCCTAATTTATGGATTCTAATCTTGGAAAGTCAAATAGGCCCCAAATGGCAATTTTTTGGTAATTCATTGATTTTCAGAAAACATAAACATTTCATAACAGATTTTGCGGGTTCCAAAAATTATGAGATATTTAATATTTCAGTATACCAAAGTCAGTGATACCTATATAAGAACTTGGCAACAAGATTAAATTATGTTCAATTTTATTGATACAGTAAAGAGTTAATTATATGTAGGCATTAGGAGGGCTTGAGGGTGTACAGGAGTCTGCAGAAATTAATAAGAAACTTTAGGAAATAAAGACCACTGAGGCCTGGGGCTTTTAGGGAAAGCCTTTCCTAGACCCAGGAATGATAGATGGTAAATGAATATGTGAGACAGACAAGGAACAGAATCCTAGACAAGGGAAATGCTTGAGTTAAGGTACACAAATAGGGATAGCTTTGGGTGTGTGCATGTGAGCGTACATGCTTGTATGTGTGAGAGAGAGAGAGAGAGGGAGAAAGGAAGAGGGGGCCGGCGCCGCGGCTCAATAGGCTAATCCTCCACCTAGCGGTGCCAGCACACCGGGTTCTAGCCCCGGTTGGGGAGCCAGATTCGTTCCCAGTTGCCTCTCTTCCAGGCCAGCTCTCTGCTGTGGCCAGGGGAAGGCAGTGGAGGATGGCCCAAGTGCTTGGGCCCTGCACCCCACGGGAGACCAGGAGAAGCGCCTGGCTCCTGCCTTCGGATCAGCGTGGTGTGCCAGCCGTGGCGGCCATTGGAGGGTGAACCAATGGCAAAAGGAAGACCTTTCTCTCTGTCTCTCTCTCACTGTCCACTCTGCCTGTCAAAAAAAAAAAAAAAAAAAAGAAGAAGAAAGGAAGAGAGAAGGGGAGGAGAAAAATATATGGGGGCTGGAACATTTTGCCTACCTGGATCACTAGGTTCATGTTAGCTGGCGGTCAGACACAGGTTGGATGGGTTTGCGCAGGCAGGGGTTGAGCTGTGCATTCCTGGACACCAAGTACAAGAGCAGTGTTTCATCACTGAATTGTCCCAACAATCCAGCTAATAATGTTGACATTGGCCGCATGTGCCCCATTTGTAAGGTTGAGCAATGGACCAATCTTTTCCCACTTATATATTTCCCCCAGATTATCAATATGTTTTATTAGTATTAATCTTTTTAAAAAATTAAAGGTAAAGGACATTTATTAATTCATTCACCTAATCAGGCACTGATCTGGACGTAATATAAGGAAATAGGATTAGTTTGGAAACGTTCACTGAGTGCTTACTGTGCATCACACACTGGGCTCAGTACTGTGGAGATAGCAATGAACAAAGAAGACAATTCGTGCTCACACAGAGCTTATAGTCTAACAGGAAACATAGACATTCATTTCCAAAAAGGAGCAAGGAGTTTTGAAAAAGACATCTAGAGTGCTCTAACCTAGTCGATGAGCAAGTGAAAATTCAGAGAAAGAAAATGCCTTCACTTTCTCCTAACAGAGTTATACAATAGTTGCAAATACAAATACAAAAGTGGAGCAGCTGGGGCTGGAGCTGGTGCCCACATGGATGCTAGAGTCACAGGCAGTGGTGTAACCCATTATGCCGCAATGCCTCAGGATGGCTTTTTTATTTATTTGAAAGGCAGAGCAACAAAAAAAGAGGGAAAGATAGGACAAGGAGAGAAAGACAGATCTTCAATTTGCTGGTTCACTTAGCAATTGACCCCAACAGCCAGGTCTGAGCCAGACTGAAACCAGGAGACAGGAACTCCATCCAGGTTTCCCATATGGGTTGCAGGGGTCCAAGTACTGGGGCCATCTTCTGCTGTTTTCCCAGGTGCATTAGCAGGGAGCTATATGGGAAGCGGAGTAGCCAGGACCCAAATCTATGCTCTGATATGGAATGCTGGTGTCACAAGATGTGGATTAACCCATTACATCAAAATGTTGGCCAACTTGTTTGTGTCTTATTATCCAAGAAGTGGGTTCATGAGCAAATGCGACAAGAAAACCCAACAGCTCCCTAGGGGTTGCTGGGGAGTAACCTGCGCGAAAGGCATTCGTAGTGAACTAAGCTTTCCTTTTATTCTGGATTCAGAAACCAGCCAGACTCTTCAGCCATCTCATTAGTTGATGGTTCTTCTCAGATGCTCAACAGATTATCTTCTCTGTTACTACATTAACCTCTGAGAGAACTACCCCGTGGATGGCAGTGAGCACTGACTAGCTGTGTTCTGGAGCTTCCGCAATCCGGAGGGCAGTGGCCAGTGCTGACAGCCGATATTCGCCCAGTGGACACAGCACTCAGCCCAGTGGGCTTCTGCAGATGCTGTTGTCAGGGGCTTTTTCAGAGGTGGGAGCAGGGCACACATCCAAGCCTTCTTCATGGAGTCACGCATGGAAGTTCCAAAACCTGGTCATGGAAACTGCCACCCTAATGCAGCCTGTTAATAGGTATTTCATTTTTTTTAAAAAAGGATGGGGCAGGGAGAAGGGGGACTTTCCATGTTTGCGTAAATTTAGGAAATTCTGGATGAATACAGTCAGGATTTTTATACTCTGGAGAGATTTGTGATTTGCAGCATTTGCCAGTAGTTGCCTATGGGCCCTGGTAACCATTCCATACACAAATGGCCATGCCCAGTTTAGAAAGTCCACAATAAACCATAGCAGTCTGATCCTGATTAAGGTGAGATTTTTATTCCTTGACATCGAGAGATCCAAATCCATCTTTCCTCATTTTATCCCCCTGACACAGCGCCTTTGGCCTACAGCTGAAAGCAGTCCTGGCTTGTCAGAGGCACTGACTGAAGCCAGACGGAGTGGTTTTTATCAAAAGATGCCACACACAAACTTTTAGGAACTTCACTCTCAGGAAGTCCTTAAATACTATGTCCAAAACAAACGAAATGCCTCACGCTCTAGCGTCATTTATGTCTTTCTTACTGTGACCTCAATGGAAATTCAAAGCAGCTGATAACTATTATATAATCACTCTCACATATTTGTTTACTATTAGAGAATCATTCCTTGCTTGGCTCTTTTTTAAAATGATGAATTGTTCTAGTTTCTTTGAAAACTACCATCTTGAAACGGCTACTTGTTCCACTTCCGGCAAATAATCCCACCCAAGTGTGTCTGGTGGTGTAACCCCTGTTAAAGAACGTGGTTGTTCAGGGACTTGTTCAGAAACTCCCCGTGAACCTTTTGGGAAGAAATTTGCATATTCCTGTAACACTTCTTCGAAGATTAGCTTTCTGTGTAAGCTTGACTGGTCTAAAGGATGCCCGAACAGTTGGTGCAGCAGTTTTTCTCCGTGTGTCTGTGAGGCGTTCCCAGAAGGGGTTAGGATTGGACTCAGTAGTTTGAAGATCACCAGGAAATACATGGCCAGGCCTCTTCCAGTCTGTGAGCTCAGGCAGCCCTCGGAGCTCCTGGCTGGGGCTTGGTGGAGTCCTGTACTTACAGCAGTGGGACTGGCTGGTCTCAGGCCTTCTGACTCACCCCTTCTCTGGTTCTCCAGTTTGCACAGAACAGATACAGGGGACTGCTCAGCCTCCATGATCCCATGAGCCAATTCCCATAATAAATCTCCCGCTGTGTAAACGTAGATGGATAGAGGTGCTGCTTGGGGTGGGGACAGGGCGACCAACACAGCTTCCCTGGCTGCAAACTTCAGTCCATTCATGGACCGGCCACTGGTTTTTGTGCTTACCATTATTATGTTTTCTTGTGAACTGGAGTTACCAGACAAAATAAGGATGCACTGCTAAATTTAATTTTCGTATCAACAACTAATAATTTTTTGTAAAAGTATTTCCTATATCCTAATAAATTATGTACTGTGTAGTTGCAATCCAGATTTAGGAATCCAGCACTTTCATTTGCTAAATGTAGTCATTCTAAAGAGACAATTTGAAGAGCACTCATTTATAATGGCAACAATTCTCTTTGTTTCAGTTTAAAATGAGTCCTACATCTCTTTTCTGTCTATATTGGAACCAGAAAATATTCCCGAATACTTGAATAATACCTCTAATTGGCTTTAATGTTAAGTTATGACTGATGTCAGCCTTTGAAACTCTTCTTACCCACCACAGTGAAAAGCTTAAGAATCAGAAACACATAATGTGGCTGTATAATCTTAGTTAAGTTTAATTTCTCTGAATGTCAGATTCCTCAGCTGTTAATGAGGATGATAATAGCTGCATTGTACGCCTGTGGCAAGCATGAGAACAATTTAGTTTTTGTAAGGGGGACTGAAACAACACCTGGGCTTCCTTTGTACCATCCCACAAATCTTGATGAGCTGACAGTAGGTAAGCCCCAGGAATACAGCACTGAACTGAACAAAGTCTCTGCAGATGACAAACAAGAAACAAAGAAGAGAAGTTTACGCAATAGTACCAGCTATGCAAAAGTTAATCAGGTAAATATGAAGGGTCATGGGAAGGTGGCATGTTGTTTAGGGAGAAGGAAGGGGGAGGGTGGCCCCAAGCTGGTTAACATTGAGCCTGATAATGGAGCCAAAGAAGGAGCTGGCCCTGAGGCGACCTGTGGGCAAGGCAGCCAAGGCAGAAAGAGTTACAGAGCTTGGAATTCTGGGAGGTGGGAGAGAGGGCTCAGGAGGGGAAACAGTAAGGCTAGTGCATGAATGAGGGATAGACCTCTTTGATAAAATATGATCATTATAAAATGAAATGCACACATCTACAAGATAGAAGCCCATAGTTTTTAAGTAGATTTAGCATCATAAAACCATATTTCAATGAATGATATATAATAAGGAAAAATTACAAAAACTGTTCCACATTCATTGAAAGTATGCATGTAGGAGATTAGTACCGTTCAGAAAGATGTGCCCGTGTCAAACTGCTCTTCGAGTTTCTCACTCTTTTTGCAAATTCCAGTCGGTGTGAGGACCACATTTTGCATAGCTAGAGCTCTATTCCAATAACAGAAAGGCAGATGTCCCACTGGCCCTGTTAAAGAGTCAAGATTTAATTCCAAGTGTAAGCTAGAAAGTAAACTAATATGAAGGATGATAAAACAATAAATATTTTTCAAATCAGCTATGAACAAAATAGATTCTCTTAATCCTAAACTTTCCAGAGCCTTCTATCTAAGCAGTGGGGTGGGGGGAGTTCACTAGGGAAGGTGTCAGTAATGGCAACATGTCATGGTTTTCCAAGCTGCCGGCATCTCCATATTATTAACTTGTTCTTGCTTTCAGTGGCCTGCTGGAAAGAGTTCTAAATGGGGAGACAACAGAACTCAATTCTAGTTCTGGCTCTGACTAGCAGCAAAACTTGGACAGGTTTCTTAACATTTCCAAGTCTTTGTTTTTTTCATGTTAAAAAACAAAGAGGAAGGAGGACCAGCTAATATCTACCATACTTTTAAGTTCTAAAATCTTATAAATCTATGATTCTGTGTCTTTATTCAATAAACTTTTTTAAAAGTAAAGGACTTGCTAAACTGAAATCAAATTTAGTCAAAGTAATTTAAATAGAATTAATCAAAATGAAGCTAAAATAATTTGATTTCAGTGGATGAAACTGCTAGGAAATACTTTAAAAGCAAAAAGATTTAATTTGTCACAGCTTATCTCTGATCTAGGTTTATTATCTTATTAGGAAAATATTTCCAGCATTCTCTAGTAAAGCTGCCTTTAGATGCAGAAATTAGTATTTTTTGGCATTTTAGCTTCTTCATTCTTTCATTTCACTACTCTTTATTTATTTATTTGAAAGGCAGATTTACAGAGAGGCAGAGAAAGAGAGAGAAACAGAGAGAAAGGTCTTCCATCCAGTAGTTCACTCCCCAAATGGTCACAATGGCTGGAGCTGGGTCAATCTGAAGCCAGAAACTTCTTCCAGGTCTCCCATGTGGGTACAAGGGCCCAAACACTTGGACCATCTTCCACTGCTTTCCCAGGCCATAGCAGAGAGCGGGATTGGAAGTGCAGCATATGGGACTCGAACCGGTGACTGCAGCGCGCTGCACCGGCCGTGCTGGCCATTGGAGGGTGAACCAACCGCAAAAGGAAGACCTTTCTCTGTCTTTCTCACTGTCCACTCTGCCTGTCAAAAAAAAAAAAAAAAAAAAAGACAAGAGTTGGGAACACTTGGGTGGGGTCTTGAAGACTGACCGGAAAAATATGCTGCAGTCAGGAAAAAAAGTATGTGCACAGGTAGAGCAGTAGAATCAGGTGCCCAAGAGATGACAGGTGGTTCTGAGAGGCAATTTAGAGGCAACATGTATGCTGCCAAGGTTCCACTCTGAAAGTTCTCTCATGTTACCAAGTTAATTGTTGGATAAGAAATAGGGTTATGCTTTACAAGATTGGAGCAGACAAATGAGGAGTGCCACTGAGAACCAACAGTGCCAGGCATTTGACCAATATCATTTAATCTTGTCAATCTTTCAGGTTGTTTGACTTTCCGGCTTATAGATGATGACATTGAGATTCAGCAAGGTTAGTTAACTTTCCCAAGGCAATTGAACTAATAAGTGGCAGAGCTGTTGTTTGAATCTAAGGGGTAGACTTCAAAGTTCAAAGGCGGGGCACATCCCACCAGCACACCACCTCCAGAGGGGGTGTATGTGGTGCTGGTGGGAAAAGTCCCCCTCTGGCTTTGCTCTCAGGACACCCACATTTCTACTGCTCCCTTCCAAAGGTTATCCCTCAGGGCATTCTCTGTGCAAAGGGATGGGAATTTACCTACCTTGGGAATGTTGTGCCCTCACTTATCAACAATGGCCCCATAGGGCCTGCCTTAAGGCTTTTCATCCCCTTCCAGCAGGTCTGGCTGAGCCGTTCACAGGCTACATGGACAAACTTAATTAAATTCAAGTGAGTGTTGTTAGGAAGACCTGACAGGGGCATTTGTGGCAGCTGAATAATTGAGTTGTGTGCTTTTTTTTTCTCTTTGCCTTCTTGGTGGTGGGCTTTTTTGGGGGGTTTTGTTTTGTTTTCTAAAGATGACCCTGACACTTTTCATAAAGCTGTTCTCTAGTTGGAACGCCCTCCATCAAAGAGACGGAGTTTGGTTGCCAGGCTACCGTGAGCAAAAAAGAACTCCAACGTGACAATGCCGACCTTTTCTTGGAGTGTCCTGGGTCTACACTTGTTCAGTACAAAAGTACCTCCCATAGACCTCACAGCTAGAACTCTGCAGTGTCACTACCTGAAACCCCAGACTGGTGGACAGAAGGCACAGCCCTGCCCAGTGTCAGCTCATGGAGACGACTGAAAAACAAACCGTATCAAATTGGTAGTGAGGGGAAGCAAAGGCCACTTAGAGATCTGCTTTAAAGAGAGGGCGCACTACCAGCACAGATGAAACCAATTAAGGATTACTTTTTCTGCTTCAGCCTCTGGCATGGTGGAAGAATGAGGCCTTGGTGGTGGAAAGAAGGGAACAAAGGTTTTGCAGTTTTGTTTCCTTACGTGATTGGGACAGGATAACTCACACTCTGCCTGACTGAAGCTACAATACGTCAGATTTTGGCTCTCAAGATTTTCTTGTAGGTGACCTTTTATCTTCTGATTGTTTAAATATCACAAAGCTTACAACTCAGGAGTTCTTCAGTTGCTGCTTTCCCCTGGTAGGGCTGGTAATGATCCAGGCTTCGTATTAATATGTGGTTTTCAGTATTAATTTCCAGTGTGAAATACAAAAGAGATACAAAGGACAGAGTGAACATTTAAACTTGTCCTCGACATGTGAGTCACTACTTGAAAGAATGTGGGCTGATAGGAATCTTTCGTTTTCTCATCAGGATGTAGATTTTGAGAGAGGACTTTTGGCTTGGACATGCTTGATTATTTCACTAGAATGGGTCATAGTATACTCCAAAGTCATCAGAGTATTTATAAATCAGGTGTTCACAATATATGGAATTTCTTTGAAAATATTTTGATCTTATGATTTCTTACAATTTGATAGTGGTGGTATTGGACTACAGTTCAGTGTTCCCTTTTACATAGATAAATTTTATATTATTTTATCTTTTAACTCCTGTAACATAGATGGGATAGATTGCCCACACTTTACACTCAATGATAGAGATTAAGTGACTATCCAAAGCTGTCCACAATCTCTGCCAAAATTAGATTTTATTTTTTTTCTTAAAATGTCTTCTGTGTGCTGGAGTGAGTAGGGGAAATTCTGACCCCTGGAGACTCAGTTTTTTTCCTTCTGCTTTTTCTGTTCTTTTCTTTTTGAAAAATAGTTTTAGAAAAGTAGTATCTTTCCTCTTCTGGACCACTGAGGATTTTCTGGGTTTCTGGTCAACCTTTTAGAGTAACATGTGCTGTGGCTCCAGTTGGCCATGGTAAACTCTTCCAGAAGTCTCTATTGCTTTCCTCTTTCAATCAGAGAACATTCTGTGGGGTTTCATAATTATTTTAAAATGTACAAAAAATGGTCAGTTAATTTGCAATTAAGTTAAAGATGTGAAAATTCTCTGAAGTTTATAAATGAAGTAATTAAAGCACCTGATAACATTACCTTAACAAAATCCTTAATGAGCACCTCTTTTATGCCTGACACTGCTGGGAAAGCTGTAATTTAGAGCAGTACACAAAGCATCTGCTCTCATGGCCTGGTGAAGATTAATTCCAAAGAACCTATGAGGTTAGGGCTCCAAGAAGAATGCAGTGTTTCCTCTTTGTGGCTGTTGGCACACTGGAAGAAATGTCTACAAGTGATTCTGATGTTGTACTACTTGGATCTTGAATGTAGCACAAGGCTTTCTCCTTAATGTAGGGGGCCTTGCTTTCTTTAAAATTGTCTATAGAGTCTTGGGAAATATATGCAAATATTTCCTTTTAAGTATCAATGGAAAAATATTGTATTGAGATATTCATAGGTTCTGTGAATTTCGGATATTAACAACTTGCAAGCGTTCTCTGGGAAAATTTTAACAGGAGAGTTTCTTTATGGAGGATATCAATCTTGGAAGCAAGGAATTCAATCCATGGAATTGTTCAAACATGTTAGGGAGGGTCTGAGCAGCTGAAGAGGTTGGTGAGGCAGAGATCAGCAACAACTGCTTGTTGTAGACTTGCTTGCTGGTAGGGTGGAGGGGTGGGGAAGGAGACCTTTGGATCATGCAGTTGGGGGTCAGAGAGCAGAAGTGGCTGGTCTGTTGGGGACTAGAGAGCTGGGTGCAGATGCTGGGCAAGGCAGAGATGGGATGGAAATCTTCTCCTTTCTTCCAGTCCTCCAGTATCCTACTGGTGCCTTGCATTGGCCCAACTGAAAGAAGCCGATTGACAAAGGAGTCAGAGACATAGGCTGCAGGAATCAGACCTTAGGATGTAAGGAGAACAAAGAGAAGAAATGAATTCATTGCTTCATTCTTGCCTTTTTTGTTGTTCAGACTGTAACCACTCTTAGGCAAGAGTCCTTTTTTTTTTTTTTTTTTTTTTTTTTTTTTTTTAGAGAGAGACAGAAAGGTCCTTTCTCTGTTGGTTCACCCCCCCAAGTGACCACTACAGCCGGCGAGTTGTGCTGATCTGAAGCCAGGAGCCAGGTGCTTCCTCCTGGTCTCTCACGCGGGCGTGGGGCCCAAGGATTTGGGCCATCCTCCACTGCCCTCCCAGGCCACAGCAGGGAGCTGGACTGGAAGAGGAGCAACCGGGATAGAATCTGGCGCCCCAACCAGGACTAAACCCGGGTGCCAGCCCCGCAGGTGGAGGACTAGCTCAGAGAGCCGCGGCACCGGCCTAGAATCCTAACTTTACTACTTATTCTGTGTCTGACATTGGGCAAATTAAGTTCTCAGAGACTCAGCTTTCTCTTTAAAATGAGGACCAAGTGGCAGTGATGTTATATGTGAGACTGGTGAAGAATAAATGAAAAGATCTATACAGCTCATTCTTATTATTGTCATTTTTGAAGGGCACTGTGCTGGGTGATGTGAGAAATATGATCAGCCACCACTGCTCTCAATGTCATGTATAATTTAATCTTGGACAGAAACACATGGATACATAATATAAGAGTGTGTCCCATGTAGGTTGAGGAGTGAATACTGAATGCTAACTAGAGAAATACTATATTCAGCTTCCAAATTGCAAAGTGAAAGGAATTTCTATTATATGCAATGGATTTTGAATCCTAGTAGCATGATTCATGTTAAAATGTCCTATCTAGATTTGTGGGTAAGGCAGCAGTTTATTTTTATGCATCTTTTAATATTAAACAAATAATACTTTTCATTGTAGAGAACTGGTAAAAGTGTAGAAAAACACAAAAACTCCACGAGTAATTATTGGCAACCTCACTCCAAGATGGTCACTTAAAACATTTTAATGTATTTTCTGTCTAATTATATAATTATACACATCATTTTATTTATAATGCTTAAAACAAGGTGGGAATTGTGGTGCAGTAGGATAAGCCACTACTTGTGATGCTGGCATCCCATATCATAGTGCCTGGTTTGAGTCCTGGCTGTTCTGCTTCTGATCCAGTTCTATGCTAATGCACCTGAGAAGTAAGTGGAGGACAGCCCAAGTGCTTAGGCCCTGACCATTCATGGGAAAGATTCAGGTGGGGTTCCATGCTCATTGCTTTAGTGCCTGGATCAGCCCTGGCCATTGTGGCCATTTGGAGGGTGAACCTCCAAATGTAAAATCTCTCTCTCTCTCTCCTCCCTCTCTCCTCCCTCCCCTTTTCCTCTACTTCTCGCACTCCCTTTTCTCTCTCTTTCTGCCTTATAAATAAACATATTAAATAAGTAAATAAGATACATAAATAAATGTTTTAAAAAACTTAAAACAGGGGCCAGAGCTGTGGCGCAGTGAATTAAGCTGCAGCCTGTAGTGCTGGTATCCCATATGGGTGCTAATTTGAGTCCTGCACTCTACTTCAGGTACATCTCCCTATTAATGGCCCACAGAGAATGGCCCAAATGCTTGGGGGACCTGCAAGAAGCTCCTGGCTCCTGGCTTCAGCCTGACCAGCCCTGGCCATTGCAGTCATTTGAGGAGTGAACCAGTGTATGGAAGATCTCCCTCTTTCTCTCTCTTTCTCTGTAACTCTGCCTTTGAAATGAATAAAACTTAAAAAAAAGCAAAATTATGTATAACTATAACTCCTGATGTTTTCACTATATTATAACGTTATGACATAAAATTTACAAATCCAACTTGTAGCTATACAACATTGTATATCAAATCAAGACCTCTATTTGTCTATTTTCTTGTATCAGTCCTTTATTTTATGGATTTCCAATTTTTCAAAACAAGACAAAGAGGAAATAGTGTAGTATTATAATAAAAAGACTAAATATTCATGAGTCTATGCTAATATTAATTCATGATTAATATATAAATTAATGAAAGACAATAGACAGCTCTCCCATGTGGAATTTTAAATCATTAGAATAGAAGAATAGATACTATCTCCCCAAGGAAGGAGTAATTTTCCACTTTTAAATATTTATTTGTTTGTTTGTTTGAAAGGCCAAGAGAGAGCTCCCAAGCAGGGCCCCAATAATTTGGGCCATCACTGCCTCCATCATGACCCTGGGTGTGAATTACCAAGGCACTGGAATCAGGAGCAGGACTAGAATTTGAACTCAGGCACTTCAGTCTTGAATGCAAGTGTACCAAGTGGTGTCTTAACCACTAAGCCAAACACCTGCCCTTCCCACTTCTTAAGTTTTGGCTGAATCAAGGGACTTCTGTCCAAAGACTACTGTATGGGAAGCAGGGAGAAAATATCCATTTACAGGGGAGACTCTATGGCGCTTCAGGCAGGTGATCAAGGTTAACATCTGTAAGTTGTATTGATAGCATGTACCTTTGATGCGATCTTGCGGAAATAGCACTTCTGTGGTCTTCCTTCCAAAAATGCATGACCCCTGTCTAATCATTAGAAAAGCTTCAGACAAATCCCATTTGAGGAACATTCTATAAAATGACAAGTACTCATCAAAATCATCAAGGTTGTGGAAAACAAGAACAGTACAAGAAGAGTCTAACAGTCATGATGACTAAATGTGATTTGGGGTCCTGTGAGAGATCCTGGAATAGAAAAAGGACATTAGGTCA